CGTGGAGGCGGCGCCCAGAGAAAGAGAGGGAAGGGGTGCGAGGGCGCGTACAGAACTGTCGTAAAATAAGATGTTTAGTCCGCAATCACCAATTTACAGATATCGGCCACCTTGGATTCGGATCTCAATGTTTATTTCATGTCTGAAGATGGCGGCATGATGGAAGCTAGGTCCTAACCTTAAAGGCGCATGGAGTTTTCAAATAATTTTTTTTCAGCTATCACAACGGAACTAATCTTCAAGGCTCCACATTTTGGAGCCCTCTACCTGCGAACAAGCTGATTGTTAACTCGAGTTCCTTGATGCCCGGGTCATTTTATTGCCAGTATTTTGCGATGGCTGGGGACCTGTTGCCGGGGAGCAGTACTGTAGGCTCCACATTGGATACAGTACCCACTACGGTCACTGGATCCTCAAATTCTCCCACAGCTGGTACAGGGCCTACTGATGGTACAGTACCAACTCAAGCTACAGTACCCACCGACGGTACCGTACCCTCTACGGTTACTGTAGCGACCGCTAATCCTACAGTATCTTCTACGGCTACAGAACTCACCACAGGCGTCACATCAGCAGCTACAGTACCCAGTGACGCTACCGTACTCACCACCATGGCTACAGTACCTACGGAGCCATCAACAACAAATCCTGTTGTAACTACAGTACTCAATGTGAATACTGTAGCCACTCCAGAAGCTTCAGTACCCTCTACAGTACTCACTGTAGGTACCGTACCCACTACAGTACCCACGGATCCACCAACAACAACTTTTGTTGTAACTACAGTACCCACTTTGCGTACGGTAGTCACTACAGAAGCTACAGTACCCTCTACCGTACCAACCGATGCTACAGTAGCCACTGTAGGTACAGTAGTCACTACAGTACCCACGGACCCATCAACAACTAACTCTGTGATAACTACAGTACCCTCTATAGGTACCGTAGTCAGTTCTGAATCTACAGTAACCTCTACAGTACCCATTGTAACTACAGTACCCACTACGGCCACAGTACCTACCCCTAGTCCCAGCCCCTCAGCTCCGTCTACCCTCACATCTTCGGTCCCTTTAACAACGCCTAATCTAGTCCCAACAAGCACAGTACCCCCTACAGTACCCCCGACCTCCACTACAGTACCCACGACCACCCAGTCAGCCCCAGGTTATTCCCTAGCTTCCCTAGCTTCGATTTTAGTGGTATTGAGGATATTTTTAATATAAATTTTTCGATTTATTTTTTTTTTAAATAATAAATATCGTTCGATTATTTTTTATTGAAAAAAATATGTTTTTTTTTTTCAGAAGAATTTCAGAAAAAAAGGAAAAGCGACAACAGAAAACAATAAATAATAAGAAATGATAAATCAAAGGAGCAAGTTTCCATCAAAAAATTCTGAAAATATTGAGTTTTTGATGGATTGCTCAGAATAAAATTTTCGCAGTATTTCGACTATAACACGGCCCGGAACGAAATTTTCAACATGCTTTTTGGACCATTTTGTAGAGAATTTGAAGACGCATCTAGCCATGTAAATTTCTAAACCTAGCGTAAGAATGGTTTGGTGGCCTAACTTTCTCAAAATTTGGTTTTCTAGGCCATCATGTCAAATTTGGGTGGATTTAGTTCCAAATGACGTTCTGATCAATTTCCACTTTTCGGAGCTCAAAAATAGCCAATTTGAGCCGAGTTATAATGAATTTTGTGAAATTGCTCAGAATAAAAATTTTCAGTATTTCGGCTATAACTCTGCTCAAAATCAATATTTTCGAATTTTGTAAAAACTGAACGCGTAGGGGTGATTAGGCGGAAATTTCTTAGAAAACAGAATTCGATGACCTAGAATTCCCAAATTTGGTTTTCTAGGCCATCACCTAGAAATCGTCGTAACTAGGCCCAAAATCATTATTTTTGAGTTCTAATACCACGAAAATGTGGTGCTACCCCGCATTAGAACTGGCCGCATCAGAACTGACCCGTATTAGAACTGGCCGGATTAGAACCGGGTACTTCCGAAGTATCTGGTAACTCCAAAAATTGAGGAAATGCTTAGGGACAAAATGTCATATTCTGTACAAAAATTCAGCCTCGAGTCGCAACTGGGAGCTTGAATATGGACCGGTTTTCATCCGGAAAGTTCTAATACGGGGCAGTTCTAATGCGGCTAGTTCTAATGCGGGGTAGCACCGAAAATGTTCAGAAAAACATGGCAAACCTTTTGAATAAATGAAATGCTATGGTGGCCTAATTTTTCAAATTTTGATTTTCTAGGACACCGAACCGAAATTTTTGAAACTCGGCTCAAAATCAGTAGTTTTGAGTTCTAAGAGCACGAATGTCATCAGGAAAACATGACAAAACTTTTGGGTAAATAAAATGCGATGGCCTAGTCTTCAATTTTTGGTTTTCTAATCCACCAACTCGAAACCTTTATAACTCGGCTCATAACATTTGTTTTTGAGTGCTAATACCACGAAAATGTTTAGGAGAAAATTGCGAACCTTTTCGAACATCTATTTTTGTGATGGCCTAGTTTTTCAATTTTTGGGTTTCTAGGCCATCACATAGAAACCGTCATAACTGAGCTTAAAATCGGTATTTTCGAGTTCTAAGAACACGAAAGTGTTCAGGAAAAAATTGCGAACCTTTTCAAACAGTCAAATTTTTGATGGCCTAATTTTTCAATTTTTGTGTTTCTAGGCCACTCCCCTCAACAAGCCCAATAAACGCGGAAATTGTTTATACATTTCTCACCTATTTTCCAAAAATCACTAAAAACATGTGACCCTCGTCCTCCTAAGTCCCCCCAATGTCTTCTTCTTCATTCGATTGAAATCTGCAGCCCCCTTCTTCTTTCGCCTGCATCGGGAAGAAGAGGGGAAAATCGGCGAAAAGGAAAGAAGAAGACCGAATGGAAAAAGAAAAAGGAAAAGATTTGTCGGAGATATTACACAACACAACAGACAATACTACAGTAACTGGGCTGAATGGAAATAGTGTGGTGGGATGAGAGAGAGCGCAGACAGGCAGACACGCCTCCTTTTTCTCGGCGCGGGGTGATTCCCTTCCTCTCCTTCATTCGCCTAGTAATGTTGGTGTCGCCGACGGCCGCTGCAACGTCTACTGAACAGCAAACTATTCATGATCTAAGGTATTCGATTTTGGGGAGTGTATAGAGTTTGATAGGGTTATCTAGGAGGAAGGAATTTTTTGGGGGGAAGGTCAAATTTTAGATGATCAGTACACAAAAATAAGGACACAGAATCTTTAGTTAACTGAAAATTTCAAAATCTAGGATGAAGAAAATTTTTGGGAAGGTCATTTTGATCAGAACACAAGGATAGAGCACCCCATGACCCTGAATTTTCTGTATACTGAAAATTTTGAGAATAATAAAAAATTTTCTAAGAAATCTTAGGATGGGACCCCTGAATGGCTACTGACCCTTAATCAGAAAAACGCTCAAAAATAATTTCCAGTTCTAAGTTTTCTGAGAAAAACCTAAATCCTGACCTGACCTATTTCCGAGCCGACACCAATTTTTTTCTGACCTGACCACGTTTTTTTCAATCAGCAGGTCCTATCTTCGAAAAAACTGGAAATCTGAGAATTTTGGTTTGTAGATCAAAAAATTCCCTATCGATTGGTTTAAAAATCATATGAAATTGTTTCAGAAAATCGGCGTCAAAAACGAAAAAGAAACCGAAAAAAATCTGAAATAAATTTTTTTTCTCATTTTTGGTCATACTTCCTGAGCCAAACCTAGATGATATTTATACCAATCGATAGAGAATTTTTTGATCTACCGTTTGGTGTTAATATCGTATAGGGTTTCTGCAGGAAAAATAGGTCTAAAACTCGAAAAAACGAAAAAAACAGAAAAATGACCACCAAAAAAATTTTTCACGATTTTTCACCCATATTTTTTTGAACCAGCCCTCTATGATATTTATATCAATCGATAGAGAACTTTTTGATCTATCGGTTGGTATCAAAATCTTATGAGGTCCGATCTTGAAAAGTTGAAAAAAATCGAAAAATCAGTAAAAGAGAAAATTCTGCATCAGAAAAATTGCTCACGATTTTTGACCCATATTTTCTGAGCCAAACTCAGATGATATCTATACCAATCGATAAAGAATTTTTTGATCTACCGATTCGTATAAATATCGTCTGGGGTTTGGGGTTTATTTCCAGAGAAAATAGGTTCAAACCTCAAAATTTCAGAAAAAAAAACCTATTTTCCGGATTTCCAGAGCTCAGTTCCTGATAGGAGTTTTTTGATCTACAGAAAACTTTTTGCAAATTTTTCAACAAAAAAAAACACTTCGAAAAATTAACTGAACCCAATATTTACGAACGTACTTTTTAGTATTCGATATACCGTGTTACCTAAGATTCTAGAGAATTTATTTATTGATTTCCTTCCTTTTCAAAAATATCCCGATTCCGGACATTCCTCGTGTCAGCTACAACAACAACAATAAACACGGAAAAATCATTGAGAATTCAATGATCCGTGGCTTCTTCCTGGACACAAATAGATCGTAATCGTTCATTTATTTCTTAAAATTTCGAAAATTCACGTTCTCTTCAGTTTTTGGAAAGGATCTCCCCATTATCGATTTTTTCCAAAAAAATATTAAAAAAATATTTCGAAATTCTTCGATCCAATATCCAAAGAACACGGGGATGGTTGTACCTTGTCCTCCCCCTATCCTTCCGTTATCTCGATTAATAAAAAAAGGTGTCACATGAGAGAATTGAATTCCTATGAATCATCATCTAGGAAACAAACAAAAAGGTGTTTTGGCTATTCCAGATATCCATCCCCTGGCTTAGATGACCTTGGGGTGCCCTTCTCGGAAGATGATGATGTCATCATGATGAGATAGAAACGGGATTTCCATAGTTGTGTTTTGATGGCTTATCTTCGAAAAACTCGTTTTGGAAGCGCGCTCCATTGAGAAATTGCATTAGAAAAAAAGTAAAAAAGATTTGGCCCCGTCCGGGGTTGAACCCGGGATGCGGAATTCAAAAACGAGAGCGTTAGCCGCTGCGCCACGAGGCAGCACGCAATAAAGGAAAGAGAGGGCCTACAAGTTGTGGCGGCGCCGGCGCCAAAGAAAGAGGGGGGGGGGGGAGAGAAGAGAAGAGGGACCAAAATGCAAATTCGCTCTATTGACAATTTCAGATCAATCTTGCCACAAATCGATAACCTCAACGATGGATACGTACTTCGTTGGTTGCGTGCAAAGAATGGAAGATTTGATGATACCGCAGAAAGTTTAAGAAAGCATGTCACATTTCGAAATGCGTGGCATTTGGATCGAATTCATCAGTGGACCCCTCCAGAAGTGAGTTTTTTTGACTAGGAGTTGCGCATACGCGCTCTATTGAGAATAAAGGCGGAGCTTAGTTGTCTACGCAAAAATCAATAATTTCGTTATTTTGATCGGGCTGCTATCGATTTCTTGTATTTTTTAGCAGAAAATATCCGACGTTTGTTTATTTTCTAGGCTTACAATTCAGTTCCGCCTAGATTCTCAATGGAGCGCATTTGCAATTTTTCTTCTTCTGATCAAATCATTCATCATACTTCATAGATCACATTCTGAACGAAAGTGGAAAAAATTTTAGTGGCCTGAAAGGCGCATGCGATTTTGTTCTGGTTCGAACAAAGCATTTGAGCACCGCACGACAAGAAAAAAATATCAATATAGCAAACTTGCCGAAATTTTTTTTCAAAAGAAAAAAATTTTTTTTCAGGTTCGTTACAAAACATGCGCCTTGAAGATTCAAACGAAGCTTTTTTCAATAAAAATACATGTTTGAGCGGCATAAAAAAATTATCAATAGAGCAAACTTGCCGAAATTATTTTTCTCAAAAAAATTTTTTTTCTAATTGCAGTGCCTCGAAAAATACTGTGGATATGGACTACTCGGGGACACTGAAGGACGACCAATTCTGATGTCATTGTTGGGAAATGTGGATGTGGAAGGACTCCTGAGATCAGTGGCTTCACTGGATTACATCAAATTTTCGCTGGCTGCTATCGAAAAAGGAATGAAACTGTGTGAACAAAAGGCCGCGGAGGTGATTTTCATTTTTTTTTCAACCAATTTTTTTCAATCTTTAGGTCAAAATACCTTAGATAACCTAGAATTTAAAAAAAAAATTGGAAAAAAAAATTCAAAAAAAATTTTTTTTTCAAAAAAAAAATTCCAGTCCGGTCGCCCATTCGAACAAATGACGTTAGTCTTCGACCTGGAAAATATCACTTCTGCTCACTTCTCATGCAAACAATTCGCCTCCTCATTCACCACCCTTGTCAGCTTATTCCAGGATCATTATCCAATGGTTTTGAGGAAGATTTTGATTATTCGGTGGGTATTAGGGCTTTGAAAGTACATATCTCAAAAATGGACCGAGCTAGAAAAAAGATGTCAACAGCAAACTTGCTCAAAATTAAATTTTAAACAAATTTGTAGTTGACAACTTTTTTCTAGCTGTCTTCGTTTTTGAGATATGGGCCTGCAAAGTCAAAGAAGCGAGGGCGCCTGCGCCTCTGTTTCACTTAAAAGGCGCATATCTCAAAAAAGGGCGGAGTTAGAGAAAAGTTGCTGACAGCAAAGTTGCTCAAAATTAAATTTTGAACAAGTTTGTAGTTGACAACTTTCTCCTAGCTGTTTTCGTTTTTGAGATATGTGCCTTTAAAGCTCAAGAAGCAAGGGTCCTGCGCCCCTTCCTTCCTTTGAAGACGGATATCTCAAGAGGGAACAGAGCTAGGAAAAAGTTGTCAACAGCAAAGTTGCTCAAAATTAAATTTTGAACAACTTTGCAGTTGTCAACTTTTTTCTAGCTCCACTCCTTCCCCTCGTATCAAAGGTTTTCATAACAGTTCTTCAGAGCCCCTGAAATGGCCCGAATTGCCTATGCCTCTATCACTGCTATACTTCAGGATCCGATCACTCGCTTGGTGGAAATGCCATCGGAGGTGAATAGAAAATGGGGGAAATTGAGAAAAAAAAAGAAAAAAAAACTGAGAGTTATCAAAAAAAAAATTAAAAATTTCAAAGTTCCAGATTTTAAGAAATTTTTTTCTATAATCTGAAAATTTGCTCTCGTAGATCAAAAAATGTTATATCGATTGATGCAAATTGTGCCATATAATTTTGGCAAAGAATCTGTAAAATCTGAAAAAAAATGCAAAAAAATTGTTGTCTGAATTTTTAGTTTTTTGGATTCTGAGCACATTTTCTGCTACAACCCTATATGAAATTTATATCAATCGATAGATCAAAAAATTCCCTATCGATTGGTATAAATATCGTCCAGGGGGTTTCCAGAAAAATAGGTTGAAAAACTCGAAAAAGCGGAAAAAAATCTAACATTGACCACCAAAATTTTTTCCTATTTTTGGATAGAAAATTTTTTTTAGTGTATAGAAATTTTTTGATCTACCTACTGATTGGAAAAGCGTAAGGGATTGTATTTGAAAATAATCGAAAAAAAATTGAATTGACGAAAAAAATTTTTTTCAAAAATTCATCATAATTTTTTTCAGTCCGACTGGAAATGGTCCCTGGCCCAAATCGTGAATCTCGACGCATGGCCAATGTATTGGGGTGGAAATCTCGTGGAGAATGGTGATCCAAAGTGCCCATCCCGTATAAAATATGGAGGAGGGGCTGTCGATGAATCCTATTTCGTGGATCCGAAGAAAGCGATGGCCGACTACGATCAATTGACGACCGTTTACGCCGGCGACAAACATTTGATTCAGATCAAAGTGAAGAGACCAAGTCGGATAAGGTTCGTCTTGGGGAAAGCGGATATGGCCTAGTTTTAGCTGCGGAAACTTAGGCCATAAAAAACTAAATTTTTTCGAAATCTGAAAAATTTTCCTAGTAGATCAAAAAATTCTCACTTGCTTCAAAATTTCTATTTTCGAGTCCAATAGAGCGCATTTACAGCTGGACATACATGACCGACGAGGACGATATCGGTTTCGAAATTCACTACGATAAAACTGGATCCTGTGATAAGCTGACTGAAATGGAGACCGTCTATCCGTATATTCGTCTCGAGTGCACCAATGTTCCAATCACCGGACATCTCGATGTCACTGATACTGGCAATTGTATGTCTTTTGTTTATTGATACCTTAAAGGCGCACGCATCCTTTTTCAAAAGTCTAAAATTCAAATTCCCGCCAAATTCGCCTTTTGGATGAGAGCTTACAGTAACCCACGACATTTCTGCAATTTGACGTGACAGTGTTTGCAGAAATTTGGAATTTTGAAGAAAACCCCTCCCCCCCTCCGCGCTGCTGCAAAACCCGCAGTTTCCTATACGCCCTCTTCTTTCTTTTCCAAAATGCGAAGCGTGGCCTAGTGGCTAGCGCTGTCGTTTTTGAATTTTCATATCCGGGTTCGATCCCCACCGGGGTAAAATCTTCTTTGTTTTTTTTCTAGATGGAATTATCAATAGAGCGCATTTTTCAGACGTTCTCGAGTTCGACAACTACTACTCGTGGTTCTCCGCCAAACAACTTCGCTACAATATTGAGATCGAGGATTTGTAAAATGCGTAATAATTGGTAATTAATTAATTTTTTTTATATAAAGAATAAAAAGAAGATCATTTTGAATATGTATAAAAGAGAGTGGGTTGGAGATGTTATACAACAATAGAATTTTGATTTAAAAAAAATGGAAAAAGAAGGACCCGAAAACAGACCGAAAAAATGGAGCTAGGCGTGAAAGGAATGGCAATGAAATCGACAGAAAAAGGACTACAATAGTGTTTGAAACAGGGCAAAAAGAGAACGAATCGTGTGGGTTGGAAAAGAGAGGCAACGGGAGAAGAAAAGAAAAGTATCGCAGATGTTTTTTGAGAATTAGAACCCGGTTTGAGTATATATGTGTGGCTAGATGTGTTGGATATGAGAAGTCATGAGATAGGGAGAGGTGGAAAAGAAAACAGAAAATGTTAAAAAGCGAGAAAATGAAGAGGGTTGAAGAGGGTGGAGGAGCTAGTGGCGTCGGTGTTTTTCCTGAAAAAATTCAAAAATTATTCGAAAAAAAAACGCGCGGCAAAATTGCAAAAAAGGGCGGAGCCTCCAAACAGCTATTTTGAACTTTGAATTTATAAAATATTGCGGAAAAAAAATTCTCTAAAACCTCGGATGGTGCGTTTTTCAAAAAAAAAAGGGGCGGAGCCTCATTGAAACGCTGCGGCGCGTAATTTTTCGGTTTTTTCTAAAGTTAGAATACACTATATTTAGGCAGCATTCTAGTCCGAATTCTAGACAAAAAAAATGGGGGAATGAGCAGCAGGAAGCGCGTGTGGCAAAACAGCAAAAAAGGGGCGGAGCCTCTCTTCAGTCGAATTTTGTATTTTCATCATCAAAAACTGAGATTTTCGTGTCAAAATTTTCTAGCGGAAACAAAAAAAACGGCAGAAAACCGCGCGGCAAAATTGCAGAAAAAGGGGGAGGAGCTTAACTTTTTTTTGGAAAAAGGGGCGGAGTCCTTGAAAATTTACACAAAAAATTTCAGAAAACCGCCAATTTTGATTTTTGAAGACTTCTAATATTGCAAAAATTACCTTAAATTCGCGTTTTTCAACACTTGCAAAAAAGGGACGGAGCCTCACTTGACTCGAATTTTGTGTTTTAAAAGTCAAAAACTGAAAACCGCGCGGCAAAATTGCAAAAAGGGGCGGAGCTTAATTCAATTTTACCTTTGAATGATTATCACGGTCCCGATCACGATCTTTATGATCTCTATCCTTGTCTCGATGATCCCGATCCCTATGATGATCCCTATTGTTGCTACCACTGGTCCCCTCTCCATGATCCTTTCGTTTCCGATCCTTGTGGTCCCTGTCCTTCGACTCCTCCCCTTTTCCACGATGATGATGGTGATGATGATGTTTGTGTTTATCGGAAGTCAAACTTCGATATCGATCAGCCATCTCTCCCGGCTCCCGGAGGGTGAATTTACACAGGAATATCCACAAATAATTATACCATTTTCGGATATTTGTCTTGGGTTTTTTCTCT